GCATCGCTTCTAGTAGCAGGTGCCTTACTAGTAGTAACAAGAAGCTAGTAGTTAATTTAAACTCCACGTGGCTCGCTCCTTTCTCCACGTGGCTCTCTGTGCCTTTTTGGGTTCGACCCTCGCCCGTCGGACTCGTCCCGGTCACCTCAGCATCCCACGCGAGGGGCCTTTGGCGAGAGTGGTCCTTCGGTTCAGGTTCCGTGGTGTCAAATCGTATTCAAAGCAGAAAGGGTGCACCATGTGTCAAACTACTATCATTGCAAATTCAGGGTAATTAGTAATTCTATCCTATTAAAATTGTATTCTAACATTTCAATTCAATTCAAGTCGAGTCAAGTCAAGTCGATTCTTCTTCTTCTTCTTCCTTCTTCTTGGTTTTCATCGTGTTTTTCGTACACTTCTCGGTCGTGCTTGTCATGCTAGCCCTTCCATTTTTGTCTCATGATCCCTAAATGCTTCTTCCCTGCTGTTTCCTCTTACATGCTTTTTCATCTGTTTCTTCTCTCCATCACATTTCAATCATCCCACGGACCCACGGAGGTGAAATCCCAAGAGGTGAACTTTCCACCGGCTTCCGTACAGACCTCAAGCTATGGCAGCTTACAGGGCGGCCCCGGACTCTCTCGCCGGATGCCGGTGAGTCGGACGTCCGGACGGTTCGACCTCCGGACGTCGGTGGAACTCTTTTCCCCAACGGGACGAGATGCGACACAGACGCCCCCCGCAGCGCGATGCGCACCGCGGCATGCGCGCCGCTAAGGCACAGGGAATCCTCACTGCGGATCAAACCAAACCATGGACCGCTGTTCGGTATGCAGTCAAAAGGCAATATAAGATCATAACTGGGTGACCCTCGTCGGGAGCGTCTGCAACACCGGCCAGCACCTTGTGCTCGTTCTACACGTGACCAAGAATGAATGAACATGACATGGGTTGGACTGGGAACGTCGTGCTCCCGCTGTTGTGCATTGGATCCTTTTTGACTTTGGGGTCTGTTTCCGAGACCTGGGATGACCTGGGTGTGGAGGGTGCAATCGAGGCCAATC